CCCTAACTAGATCATATTTAGGAACCTAATTAAGACCTTTAATCCTCCACTATTCCATTGAATTCAAACTAAATCCCAACTATCTAATCCAATTCCAACCAAGGGGCATTTAGGACCATTTGCACTAAATTCTTTATATAAACAAACCCTCCCCTAGCATTTTACATACAAGAACAACACTTATGCACACTATATTTAGCTGAGAGAGAAGAAAGGAAGGAGGGTGAGCTTGGTAGAAGAGAGGAGAGTAAGAAAAAATTTACTAGCAATTCCAACAATCCTCAAGTAAGCCACAACACAACTCTCTCTTCCATTTTCCTTTTTCAAATACATGTTATTAGAAGTTAAAAATGGTATTTTCAAATGTGTTATAATGGTATTATTGTGTTAAAAATGAAGGGAGTTGAGCCTTGATTCTACCCTTCTTCTATTTCTCTTAATCGGTCCAAGACTACATTTTTCCCTATCAATCTCTCAAAATTTTCAAAGGCACACCTTCACCTTAAATTTATGAGTTTAATACATATTATTTAGCATGTTTTCATCACAAGATAAGTGGAAACTTTTCCCTAGCTGACCTCTTTTCTCACCAACTTTCTATTTTCAAGAACTATGCCAGAAAAATTTGTTTTACAGCTACCTTACGAAAATTGTAGAAAAATGTATAAAAATATTCTAGACCTCCATTTTATGTCAAAATCTTTCTTAAGGAGTTATCTTTCAAGGAAAATTGGTTTCATTGAAAACGAGTGAGCGGTTTGTGAGAACATCTGATTTTCGTAACGGTCGATGAATCTGGACAGAGCTGGAGTATTTCTGAAATAACTACAAATCTGGAAAAGCTATTCCATTTCTAAAAAATGTTCTGAAAACTAGATAAAATTTCCTACGAACCATAGAAAGGCCGGGCTTTGGAAAAATCTGAAATAGCCCTTTTGAGTATAATCTTTAAGTAGTACCGAATCTGGAAATTCTATTTTTATTAGTGTTTTCACTACTACAAAAATAGTTAAAGATCACACTTTCACAAAAAAAACGATCTCATTTTTATTGGAAGTGTGATAAAAAAAATTAGATTGATATCTTAATCACACTTAATTTGATTGAGTGTGATAATATTTATTTTTTATGTCACTTTTCAATTAAGTGTGATTATATATATATATATATATATATATTTTAATCACGCATTCTAATTAAAGTGTGATTATATATACACTACTACTTTTTAATCACACTTTTTAAACAAGTGTGATTATATATATATTTTTTAATCACACCTTTTAATTAAAGTGTGATTATATATACATTACTAACTTTTAATCACACTTTTTAAGTAAGTGTGATTATATATATATATATATATTTTAATCACACACTCTAATTAAAGTGTGATTATTTATATATTTTTAATCACACCTTCTAATTAAAGTGTGATTATATCACTACTACAAAAACAGTTAAAGATCACACTTTGATAAATGAAAATATCTCACTTTTATTAAAAGTGTGATAAAAAAAATTAGATTGGTATTTTAATCACACTTAATTTAATTGAATGTGATAATATTTATTTTTTAGGTCACTTTTTAATTAAGTGTGGTTATATATATATATATATATATTTTAATTAAGTGTGATTATATTTAGTATTTATTTATATATATGTATATATATAGTAGTATCTACAGTTGAACAAATCAAACCCCCTCTCTCCCCCTCTCACCCTCTCACCCTCTCACCCTCTCACTACTCACTTAGCAATAACTAGGGTTTTATTATCTTTCTCTCCCTTATAGAAACCCTAGCGTTGAAACTCCCGTCCCCAACAACAACAATCATCATCAATGTTGGATCTGCCATCACCGATCCATCGTTGTTGCCCGTCGCGCATCACCTTCTTCTGCCGCAGAACCACCACCTTAGTGCCGACGATGGTAGATCTTGAAGGATGACCAAACCCTAGAGAGCTACAGGTAATTAAACACCCTAACTATGTTTTCTATGTATTTTACAGTTCTTTAGATGAATGTAAATATTCTCAGTTATTCCATCTTTTTTCATCTTTTTTTTTTGTTCTCTCTCTCTCTCTCTAGATTTTACAGGAATAAATTCATTTTTAGGTTAGAAGATCCCATTAGATTGAGTTTGATTTGATTTCACTTTGTTATGTTTCTTGATCAATTTCATGCCAGTCTATTGAAATCTGTATGTATCTATTGATTTCTTGTTCTTGCTTGGGGTTTGTATGATTAGAAATTCGATCTTGGGAACTCAAAGCTTGTTAGGGTTTTTGCTAATTTCTCTTAGAAATACACATATATGATCTTAGACGGCATACGGTTGATGGAAATAATTTGACAGTAAATCTGTGTAGTGTTGTTGGCAGTTTCTATTGAGAGATGAAATGGTGATGTTGTCTGATTACCTTGGAAACAAAAGAATTGGCTTAAGAAATTATTCAATATTTCTAAACACTACAACAAAACTGAGTTTTTACGGCTCTACATTGACGACATACAGTAAATGCAAGCCGTGATTTCTCACTTTTACGACTTGTTTTTTTTTTTTTGCATGTCGTAAATAATTTCCCAACCACGGTGTGTCTATTGCGTAGGTCATGAATACTAATAATGATAATTTTTTTACGACTTGCAATGTTAGCCGTAAATAATAAAAGTTTCTATGACGTGCATATGGCATGCCGTTAATACATCAATTATAGACGACGTGTACACTAGCTGTTAAAAATATTAAATATTTCATGGCGCACAAAAAATCAACCGTTAAAAATATTACACTTTTTTGTGACGCATAAAAAATCTGCCGTTAAAAAATATACTTTTCACAATGCACATATGCTAGTCGTTAAAAATATTTTACTTTTCACGACACAATTTCTATCATAAATAGTATGATCAAAATAAAAATAGGCGCCAAAATGAATTACTCTGGTGCCAAATATGCTACTATAAAATACTCTTCGAATGGGGCATAGCCCTCTTTCTATACACTATGTCACACACACTCTCTCTCTCTCCAAACCGTCTCAGCCTCACAGATCGCTGTATCAGTCTCTCAGATTTTCGTCTCAACTTGAGCCTTCATCGAAACCCTAACCTTGAGCTCCTCTACCACTCTCCAAACCCTTACCACTGTGTCCTAGTACCCTAACCTTGTCGGCGATGCCTGATTGAGGAAGAGTAGGGTAAGACGGTGGTGTTTGTCTGCCTCAGAAGCGCAGGGTGCTTCGATCCACCTCAACTAGCGCAGATCGCGGCAACGCTGGAGAAGAGTGACCACCGATTCTTGTGTTCCATGGAGCCTTCGCCGATGACGATTTCGTCTCCATCTGCTCTCGTCTCCCCTCCATGGGTGGTTTAGGCAGATGTGAGTGGAATTTTTATTTATATTTATTTATTTATTTATTTGGATTAGGCAACAAAGAGGCACTTGACATAACAAATTGAGAACTTGGATGGAAAACTTGATGAGCAAGTGGAAATATCAAAGTTAATTAAGAATGAGGTACATTCAGAAATGGGTTATTTTCCTTAGGATATGTTGCATATCATAGAATAGAGTATTTGAAATGCAACTTTTGACTGAATAGGACTGGGGGAAATAATGTGGGTCAGTTTTTCATGAATTATAAGGAGGAAAATCAATGAATCTGATTATGATTTAAAAATGATTCAATAATAGCATAAAAAAAAGTTCTGAATTGTGGAACAGGTTACTAATGTTCATGGTGATCTTTCTCAAATTGGCTTTGACTTGGACGCACTATAGAGAATGGTTTGTGGCTTGGTGAGTTTTGTCTCAAAGTTTATTAAATGATTCAGTGCAACCCATTCAACATAAATGATAAGTTTTTCAAGATATAAATGTGACTTGTCTCATTTTAATTCCACTACTTGGATATTGAGTTTGTGAACTGTACATCAATTTCTATCCAACTATTTTATGATTTTCATCTTTTAAACATAATGAAATTTCAGAGACTTTTTTATTTTTAAATTTTTATGGGGTTTATATATATGTTTAGGAATTTTCAGAATTAAAGAGGAGAAAATTTTGGTGAAAATTAAGTTTGAACCAGTGTAGCTTGTTTGTTTGTAGGGATTTATCATACAATAGCCTAACTGGACCTATGCCTCAGCTTCTATCAGAACTGCCTGCTTTGGAGATTTTGTGAGTTATGGAATTTTTTTTTTCTAAGTTTAAATCTTGAAGCAGAGAAAATATGTAACATTGTTTGTTTTGCATTTTTCAGGAATTTAACAAGCAACAATCTCACAGGTTCTGTTCCCAAGGCTTTGATGGAGAAGTCCTCCTTGTTATTAATATGTGACTCGTTCTCATTTTTGTTTCATTAAGAATGTTGGAATGAATATTCTATAATTCTTAGAAAATGTTTTGTTGTAGTACAAATGGCAATCCCAATCTTTGTTAGTCGGACTCCTGCGAATAGGCAACAAAGAAGAAGAAAAATTGGAGCACTACCATAGTTGCATCTTTGGTTTCCTCCATTGTATTTTTAAGTGCAATAGTTATCTTGTGGAGCTTAGAGAGGAGAAAACATAAAGGTAATAGTTTTTCTATATATTCCTTCATTCTAGTATTTGGTTTACATTCAAGAAATTATTTTCTCAATCACCTAAAGTCTTACTTGTATAATTTGATCTTTGCCTATGAACTACTTCTAAAAGGCAATGTGGGAGGCAGGACATTGAAGTTGAAAAATTGAAGATTCTCATACTCTGAGGTTGTGAGTATTACAAATAATTTAGAAAGGGTAATCGGGAAAGAAGGATTCAGAACAGTTTATCTTGGCTACTTGAAAGATGGCACTGAAGTTGTGTCAAAATGCTCTCTTAATCATCAAGTTAGGGATCAGAGCAGTTCTGGGCTAAGGCAAAATTCTTGACACTTCAATATTTTAGTACTCTTTCTTTCATACACATTCTAAAAATTACTTTCAACTGTCACAACAGTTGGTATTCATTTTTGGATTGCAGGCTGAGCTCTTAACAACTGTCCATTATAGAAATTTGGCTGCCCTAATTGGGTATTGTGATGAAGGCTCAAACACAGCGCTCATATATGAATATATGATTAATGGCAACTTACAAGAATGTTTATTAGGTAACTAACAATTGTCCCTGCTTTTGGTATATGTTTTTGGCAAAAGGTCTCGTGCACTGGAACTGGCCCTTTCTATTGTATCAGTCCTGTCCATTTTTGAGTTTGGATCATTTGTTTTTATCAGTTTATGTATGATTTTTCTTGTTTGATTTCCATCAAAATCATCACTAACTGTGGAAATAGTAACTGATTTTCACAAGTATTGTGGCCATATCTTTGGTTCTTACTTTTGTGTACTTTGTCAACTTGGCTCACTCATATGAATTAGATGGTTCTGAAGCTTTGGGTTCATATTTAAGGATTCAACCTTGCTCTGATAGTGCTCCAGAACTTTCGGGATGTTCAATTCAATGGTATCGTTTGGCAGCTGAATGTGGCAAAAAGGATCTTATTTCAAGTATGTATGCAAAAGGTGGCTGCACTTTCTTATCACCATATTGTGGGAAGCACTTAATTATACTAGGTGGATCTATTTTGATTTTTCAACTTAACTAATCTTTTGGAGAATATTGTGCACAATGTACTTGCCTACCTTAGATGAAGAGAGAGAACCATGGAATTTAGGTTATAAGTACTTGTGCTTATTTCCTATACAAATTAACATATGTTGGTTTTTGCTTCATTAGTCTTACTTATTTATCTGTATAGTAATGGTGAAGATTTTATTGTGAAATTTTTTGAACTGGATAATATTTTTGCAAACTGGAGGAGTGCTTGACCTTATTTAGATTTACATATATAAAGCTTGCTTCATCACTTTTTGACTTTCAGTTTTGATGTTATTGACATTGCCTCTGCATTTTACTCAAATTATTCTAGGTTCTAATGACTTCTTTAGCTTCTTGATAGACCTTTTAATTAAGCCATTTGCACATGGCAATAGATCCATTATTTTGAAAACTGGAGCAGTTCATAATTTGTTGATAATTTGAACACACCAATGTAGGAATTTCTTGAAGCTTAATATATTCTTAAGTAGTATTAGTCATTTTCTTAGATGTGTTTCTATTATTCTTCTAAATTCAGTGTTTATTTTTGTTCTGTTTGCATTATCTTAACTGCATATTTTGACGGTTGGGTTCAATTCCGTCCATCTGAGTAGAAGCAGTTTGTTTTTGTTGTGATGTGATTCTTCATATTAATAATGTTGCAGGGCTCATGGAACTACTTCTGGGATTGTACACTCCATTGATACTCATCCATTAAGAAAACACACTTGTATTGTAAGATGCTGCCTTTTCATTCTTCATTCCTCGCATAAAAATATGTAGAGTTGATGTACTAAGCTTAACTCATTGGCATAATATAGTGTCCATCAAGTAAGAATTAAAAACATCAGAAAGTAAATGCCGAGGCATTAGGACGGGTATACAAACTATTCGGTTTCGTTTTAGCTGTCCCCATTTCTCTCTCTCTCTCTCTCTCCATTCACCTAATATTTTTTTTTTTGGGAGGGGGGAGGGCAGCAAAATTACAGTTTATTTGGAATATCCACTGGCTAATAATCTTTATGCTTTGTCTGTAGTTTTCTTTGTTGCTAAAAGGTTCAGTAATGACTTGGTAAAGATAATAAAGATGATGATTTGGAATATAAACTAAAGCCTACTGTTGTTTGTGTTAGAAATAGATCTTATCAAAATATATCATATTGTGGTTTTATAAGGGGTTTGGCAGCTATATAATTATATGGTTTATTTGATTGCCACACTATAACGAAGTTTGCTGTTGTACTGCTGCTGCAGATGCATGTTGATATTCTGTCCTTGAGCCAATTGATTAGGTTTTTTTTTTTTAGATAACTAGGATCTCTAATTGTCTACTGATTAAGTAGCCAAGATAGCTCTAGTTGTGTTTAGTTGCTGGTTGATGTTCATCTTGATGATCATTGAGATTTATGTATTGGCGCAAATAGTACCAACACTGACTGCAATTGTTTCTATGCATATATTTCTGTTTCTAGGGGTTTAGAATGATTCACTTTCTTAAACTTAGCTTGTCAAAGTCTATGAATTTTGATTTCTCAACTATTGCTTTTTTTCTTTTTTTTCTTTTTTTTCCTTTTAATATTAAATAGACGAGACATGAATGATGCTTATGAACATCCATTTAAGATGATGCCTCCAAGGAGAACCCCTATTTTACTATTCAAAAAAAAATCATTTAAGATGGCTATTTTTGTAAGCATTTGAACAAAATCATTCTACATGAATTTTATGCAATATGAATATTTTGACTGATCATGATAATATATTGGTTTACATGCTTAAATTTTGACTGATCATGATAATAGCTTAAACACATTCATATGTGTGCTTTCTTTGTGTGTGTTGTTTCTTGAATTTGGATTTATTATCATGGCATATAGCATAGCCCATTGATTATCCAAGAAGTGTAAGATCTCTGGTGTAAGAAGCAGAAATACTTTAGTTTTGAAACATGCTTTTGGGTTAGGAAGATAAAAGAGTGATTTGGCAACGTGTGCAAATTAAAAGTTTTTCAGCTAAAGAAATAAAATACATGTTTTTCTCTTAATTTTAAAATTTTGGTGACTGTAGTGACCTGTGATAAGGCTATGTTGGCAAGGTTTAATAATGACAGTCTAAATATAATTGAACATTGTAGTTTAAAATTTTAAGTTTTGTCAGACATGGTAATGTGATTGTTTAATTATCATTCTTTTTTTTGGGTTTCATCGAGCTGATGTTTACAATGATAAATCTAATCCATTAAAAATTGTTTCATGCAGCTGGCTATTTTGGGAGGTTCTTTGTTAGGGACATTCTTATCTGAGAAGGTCAGATTTTCTCATTTGTCAACCAAAAAACATCCTTAAAATATAATAGTTTTGAAACTATACCCTTATTTGGTCTATGTTCTCAGTTTTCGATTTGTCGATTTGATTGGCTAATGGTGATATTTGCTTGTAACAAGGGAATTTAGTGCTGTTCCAGGAAGAAAACCTGAACCTTGTACTGCTTTTTATTCTTCTTACCAGTGCAGGTAACTCATGTTCATTGAATGATAAATTTTAGTGAAGGAATGCATTTTCAAAATTTTGGCATATTTATGAAGGGCTGCAAGCTAGGGTTGCCTAATTGTTAAGTGTTTTTGTATGGAACACGGACATTCAACACACCACAGATATTTGAAATGCACTCAAAGTATTTGCACAATCAACATTCAATTGCATTTCTTTTGTAGAACATTAAATATTTGAGATGGATAGAGTCTCTTAAATTAAGTTGTTGGTTATAGTAAAATTTCTGTTGAACTTGCAATTTCTATGGGTAAAGTGACATTTTGTTTTTACATGTTTCATGTCATGGTAGAGGTATTTAATGTTAGGACATTTGAAGGGGTGTGATTAGTCGGACTTTATCTTTTGTAAGACTAGAACAATCTCTACAAATAGTTAGTTTATTCATATACTTCTAGTTGTGTCTGAATTAATTTGTGTTTTTATTTTTTGGGTTAGAAATTTCTTGGAGAGATGCAAAATATGGTCAAACAATTCAAGGACTTAGTTTTTCAAGTTTTTTTTTTTTTTTTTTTTTAATATATGTAAGCACAGTTTAAATTTTTTTATGTAATTCATTTGTATATACTTTTGAACATATTTAACTTTTATTTATGAAATATATGGCGTTATTCCATTGAATATGTGGTTATGATTCAAAGTATAGTATATAGTGTGTATTACGTTCTTGAAATGCGTGTATAAAAATAATATTGATTATTTTTCAAATATGTCGAATCTTTTTAGTAATTAATCACACTTAAAAAATGTGATCTAAATGTTATTAATCACACTTAAAAGATGTGATCTAAAGTTTAGTATCACAGGTTTTATTAGTTTTTAATCACACTTAAAAGATGTGATCTGAAGTTTATTATCACAGGTTTTATTAGTTTTTAATCACACTTAAAAGATGTGATCTAAATGTTTTTAATCACACTTAAAAGGTGTGATCTAAATGTTATTAATTACACTTAAAAGGTGTGATCTAAAGTTTATTATCACATGTTTTATTAGTTTTTAATCACACTTAAAAGATGTGATCTAAATGTTTTTAATCACACTTAAAATGTGTGATATAAATGTTATTAATCACACTTGAAAAGTGTGATTAAAAATGACTCCTTTTAATCACACTCCCAAAGATCACACTTTAATAAAACTTAAAAGGTGTGATTAAATAACAAACATCACACAAAAAAAGTGTGATCTTTATCTATTTTTGTAGTAGTGTTTACGCTCTTATGTTCATGAATATGCTTATTAATTTATGATCATGTCTCGATATGATATTACACATGTCATAGGTTTATGTATTTTATTTTAATCCTTCAATGGTGCTCATACTTATGCAAATCTGGAAATTATATTCTTGTGCGAAATTATTCCCTTAACTACTTGAATATGCCTAGAGCTACTTGTGCCTATTTTCATATGTGAATCTCATGTGTTGTAACCTTATTTCCTTCTATTTGTACTACTTAGTTGTTCAAACTTGTGCAATAGATGTTTCAAGAGCATGTCCTAACTCTGACTTAAATTATAGCGATCCAGGTTTTATCCCGACCTTTGTTGTGTACCGGACTCGGGTTCCGTGGTTGTGTGTTGTTGTCTATATCTTATTTCCGTCCTTTAATCCTTTGTATTTGAGTTTTGGGATGTGTTGGGTGAGTTTGGAACAGTTTGGTTGTGAGTTGGAACAAGTGGTTGCTATCCAGGTTTTGGTCTCTTCACTTGAGCGAGGCTTTTTGCGCTCGAGTGAGCTTTGGGTATTTGTCTCTTCGCTCGAGCGAGCACCCTTGCGCTCGAGCGTGCATCTGCGTCTCTGAAAAACCTGAAGGTTTGTATTCTTCGCTCGAGCGAGATTTCTTGCTCTCGAGCGAGCCCTGTGTTTTGTGTTCCTTTGCTCGAGCAAGAACTCTTGCGCTCGAGCGTATTTCTGTGTTGCAAACCTGAAGCTTTGCATTGTTTGCTCGAGCGAGGTTCTTTTGTGTTTGGTCGCTCGAGCGACAACTCCTTCGCTCGAGTGAGCCTCGCATATATCAATTTGCAGCAGTGTGATTTTATATCACTTTTTGATCTTTTCCTTCTTCAAAACCCTAGATCGGCAGCTCCTCTCTCTAAAACACTTTCTCTCTCTACAAATACTCCATGTTCTAGGGTCATTCTACCCTACTCCCTTTGTTAAAAAGATAGAGTTTTTCATGGGCTTCCTTTTGATCCGAAAGAGTAGGATTTGGAGCACCTTTGGGTTTCTCTCTTCTCTTCTTTTGAGCTTCTCCATTTGAGGTAGGGATATTCTACACTTTGTTATGAATTTTAACCTAGTTATTTGTTGTTGTAAGAATATGGTGAGATTTGGGATATTTGGAGAAGACCTAGGGTTTTGTTCGGATTTATGAAAGAGGGGTTTTTATGTAGGTTGTTGTATATTTGACCATGGGATTAGAATATGAGGTGGTTTTGTGTTAAAGCTGATGAATTTGATTTTTGGGTTAGTATTTGGAATAAGGAGGAAATTTTCCCTAATATGAGCTAAAAATTAGTTGGTATAAATAATGGAATTTGTGTGAGAAATATGAAATTAGGGAGTTGTGTGAATAAGTGGTGTAGTTAGATTTTTTAAGTCACTCACCTATAGAAATTTGATAATTATCTGTTTAAAAGATTATATATCTGTTTAGAAATATCTGTTTTGGGCTATCGGTGGAAGATAGTCGTGATTGTTGTAGAAACTGCATGTGGATTAGGTGAATTGAAACCTGTCGTTTAAATTTACCTCATTAAATATGATGTATGATTGAGATGTTGAGTATGTGTCATTGATAGTCATTGTATATGACGATGCTTTAAATACATTGCATATGTACCATTTGTTTGGAAGGAGATAGGGGATGGATTCCGTTTATAATTAAGTTGGTCGGAGTATCCAGGGTGAAAGTCCCAAAATCTTGTGCATATATGGGTGCCGGTTCCCTCGGATGAAAATTCTGTAAAATGGCAAAACTTCATATCTTGTGCATATATGGGTGCCGGTTTCCTCGGATGGAAATTCCGTAAAATGACAACATTGAAGTGTTTGAATAATAGTTGTATTCAATTGTGAATCATTGAGTTGTAGCCTCATTTTGGATTGTTTAGATAACAATGGCTTGTCCCATGAATTGATTCCGAATTTACTGGATTGATATGAATTGAATAGATAGAAATAGAATGGAGATATGGGTATTAGTAGTGAATGAATATGAACAGAATGTGAGTTGGTTATGAATGTGGAACATTTACTTGGCACTTATATCTTAGTTAAACTTCATATACTGTGTTAGGATGTTTCTACTGGGCTTTGACTCACCCTACTTTGGGAAACCATTTTCAGGTGTAGTTGACATGCTCCCTCCAAGAACGTAGCATGGGAGGACTTAAGAGTTGGAGGCTACATTTGGTTATTCTCACGTTTAAATGTTTATTCAAGCCAAGGGCTTTATATGTATAGAGTTTATAATACTCTCTTTTGTTCTAACCAAGTATTTCTTGGAAAGATGTAAGCTCGTAGGGTATTCGCTTATGTTAAACTCTTTTGTATTATTACTTCACGTAATGAAAGGATTACTTACACTCTGATTTATGTAACTGTTATTTATGTTATTGTGGATCATATCTATGATGTTATATTTTGGGGGCGTTACATAAATTATCTAACTCAAACGGGAAACCTAATGGGTGGTAATGGGTTGCGAATTTTTGGACAAGATTACTAAGATATTGATTTGGTTGACGGGATGCGTTCCCTATTTAGAAGTTAAAGTCTTGCGCAAGTGGTTTTCGGAACCCTTGAACGGAGCGGTTGTATTCGGACCCTAGGTATTTGGTGTAAGGAGGGATTTGGGCAAGGCTCATTATTACCGTCTCTTTTGAGGCCCTACGGTTGACGCTACGCGGTATATAACCGTTGCTAGGCATCCGAGGTAAGTTCTACAACAAAGCAGCAAAAGAGGGGGTATACTGAATAATATACGTCTGATTCTTGGGGTTGGGACGACAAAATCTCTTTAGGGGATTTCTAGACTACTAACAACTAACCTTGTAACCTATGTTAATTACTTGAATGTCATGCTCCTTTCCCCTATTGTTCTAATTTGCTATTGTGTATTAGATAGGGAAAAATGGATGGGGTGTGTGTGTGTTTACTGGACATTCAAAGCTCATGGCATTTCATGCTAGCTATCGAAGAAATGTACGAAGCCAACGAAGAGTCAGAGACATTTGAAGACTTAAGTTTGCCGTAGAGAAAGTTCGGATCCATATTGCTTATTAGTTTGACTGTGCTTTTGTTTATTCTTGGATTGTAATAGTAATGGGGCTCGTTTTGTAAATTTAAAATTTGAGACACTGAAATTATTATTTACCTTGTAATCCTATGCCTATCTCTGCATTGCTTGTGAGACCTTGTATCAATGCCTTTTAAGATCTGTCACAAGGGTAGTGCGCTACTTAAAAAAGCTGGACTTAGAAGGGAGGCTAACTTAACTCTTTTGGCGATCTGGGATCTTACTTGGTTATTGGCCATAGGATTCATTAGTGTCGTTTCCTAGACTCCTAACCTTAGATAAACCCTGTATTGAATTGAAAATATATTCTCTGAAGTTTGCGATTTTTTTTTGGGGGCGTCACAAGACCAGAGAAGTATGAAAACAATAAGGATGGCCTGGTTGGTGCCTCTGAGGTAGCCTTTTCCTAATGCCTAGACTTTAATGAACTGAGAGAGGAACCGTGAAAGTGAAAAATGATGGTAGATGATTAAGAGACTCAACATCACCCATGATATGCCAGTATAGGTCAATTCCTCTGAAAGTGTATAAGAGACACTGTTAGAGGTCCATAAAGAACTTTGATCAGTTTTGCAGAAACCCCTGCAACAGTTTATCTCAAGGATGTGTACAGAGTGAGATCATAAAGTCAATGAGCATGAGTATTCAGAATAAGCTATGAATAAAGATAAATGAAATCTTGCAAGCAACATGAGAGGTGTTCATTAATGTCACGACCCAAACCCGCCCCTATGGGTTTAGTATCGTAACCGGTAAGTAATCTGTGATTACCAAAGGTCTGCTTAACAGTAATAACAATAATACAAAGTAAGGGGCTGGCGGAAGCCAAATAGTAAATAAAAGATGTCCAATGAATTGTGAAAATCTGAATGCAAAAAGACTTTTATGTGCAAAGCCACATCCACAACCAAAACATATATACATACATCATATATACAAAACATCCAAGTTAGGGACCACATCCCTTCACCATAACTGTACAGTCAAGTCTTAAGCATTCGTTACAAAAACAGAGACAAAAGGGTAAATCTGAAACACCCCAAAACAGCCTTGACTTGAATAGACTTGGAACCTCGAAGTGAGGCACAATGGTTGGCTTGAAAAAATGAGACCTTAACTTGACGCTCCTAGCTTCGGTTCGGTGCTTGGCCACCTACATACATATACAAACAGTGAGCTAAAGCGTAGTGAATAACTAATGCGTAAAGGGGTTAAGAATGAATGTCCTTTCCTTAATTAAAACAGTCATTTGCATCAGTAAATCAGTTATTCAATCAGTGGCTCATATTTCATGCCATATCAGTCATTTAGAAATCATAACAGTCATACGTGGTACGTCCAATAGCAAAACAGTACAGTAGGTCTTAATAGACCGAACAGTCAGTTGATGGTCATCAATACAGTAGCAATAGTTCCAAGGATAGCAACTGATAGAGATCTCTGTAACAGTAGCAGTAACAGTACAGTAATAGTAAGTTGCTATAGATGCCACGAGTACAGTTTACAAATAGGACAAGCATTCATTTAGTAAACAATGTCATTTCAGAAAGCAGTAGAATCAATTGTTCAGAAATAATTATAATTGAACGTATCTTTACAACATCGTTACTCACAAATTACTGGGCTATAGACAGGCTAGTCAGCGTCCTCGGGTGCCAACCCTACACAGTTGCAGAATGAACACACACTAAGTTACACACTGGGATTAATAACTTAGCCCCTATCTTGACTTGCTGTGGTTCTATAACATTATCCTTATTAAGATGCCTTCAACATGGCCTAGGAATGCCTAGGATGGGATGAGGATGCAAAGATATACTTTAAAACACTTTTCAAAATTTGCTGAAAATAGGGGTCTCGCTCGAGCGTGGCTTTCTACACTCAAGCGGACACGCAGACAAAGAAAATCCGCTCAAGCGTGACTTCCCCCGCTCGAGCGGACTGCAAACTCATGAAAAAGTACTGGTTGCACATTTTTCACGCTCGATGGACGCTCGATCCACGACCGAGCATGAGACTCAGACCCTCGCTCGAGCGCAGATTACCTCGCTCGAGTTGACTGCAAAACACATGAACTTCGGGGCATATGCATTTCATGCTCGAGCGTGACCCTCGACGCTCAAGCGGAAGTGCATGTACTCAAAGTGTACGCTCGAGCGTGAAGTCCTCTGCTCGAGTGTGGATCAAAAATCTGAAATTTCCAGATTGATCCTCAAGTACAAAACCCAACCTCTAAAGCTTCAAATTCGATTTTTCCGGGCTAATTTTATGGAAAACACTTAGAAACCCATAATACAACATGTTTCAAAGATCATTTTATAAAATCAAGCCCAAAGGTGTGACAATTGAACACAATTTCAACTAAAGCTTAAAGAACAATGCAAGAACATGACATGCATGAGTTCCTATGAACTCTAATGCTCCAAAACATGATCAAATGCAAGATTGAGCTGAAAATCATGGTGAGTTCGTGGACCATAACTAAAATATGAACATATATGTGGAAATTCTCATGTTATTGATCTCAAAACTCAATGATATGGACATGCATGCACACATTGCTTCTCAATTCAACTCTTTAGGCCATAACTTGACTCTAGTCTCCAATATTTCCATGAACCATGCAAGAAACAACTTAAATTCATAATTAAGAGAAAGAATCCCCTACCTTAAGTCTTGAATTCTAAGTGTGGAAGCCCAATTTTGCAAGTCCTCTTCAATTCCTCTAATTTTCCAAGCCAATTCTTGTTGAATCAATTCTTTTCTCCTACTCTCCCGCTCTCTCTCTCGGTTTGGTCTTGAAAATGGCTGAAGAGTGGTGTGTCAAAGTGTATGAATTAACCCCAAACAATGCTTTTGAGAAAGGCCCACTCAATGGCAATAAAGTAATTAACTTACATTCAATTAATCTATATTTAATCTAACATTATCTAATCTAATTTAATCATTCCAAATTGGATTTTAATTAAACCTACCATAAAATTTTATAAATCCTGATTAGCATATAACACCAATCAATTTCTGAATCGGTCGCCGATAAGGCTTTCAATTCACAATTCAAAATTAGAACATGGACAGATCATTCAATGACAAATAGATAGAAATGCAATTAAAGCAACATACTCATGCAATCAGTTCAGGATTTCATCCTAATCGATTACTTATCATGCTCAATCACAATTTAACGCTAATCAGAGGTGAGGGTTGTCACAATTAAGTCTAAGCGCAAAGATGACAAGAATCAATGGCAATGAGAATATAACATCCAAGCACACAAACAGCCATACAGAAACACCCACTTATGTAGCTGGACACACTCTAGTTACGGAGCACTACATCCAAGGTCTTTCTAAGGAGCTCAAACCTAAGAATTTTTTATGCTCAGTAGAGACATGTTCAAGAACAATAAAGCCCTTTTCAACCAACTCTTGAATGAAATGATGACGAATGTCAGTATGTTTGGTGCGAAAGTGTTGGACTGGATTTTTAGAGATGTTTATGGCATTTGTATTATCATAGTAAAGAATGAGAATGTCCTGGTCTACACCATAATCATGAAGCATTTGCTTCATCCACAATATTTGTGTACAACGACTCCTTGCAGCAATATACTCAACCTCAGCGATCGAAAGAGAGATGACATTTTGCATTTTGCTATGCCAGGCAACCAAATTATTCCCAAGGTAAAAACACCCTCCAGATGTGCTCTTACAATCATCAACACACCCTGACTAGTTAGCATCAGAAAAACTAGTGATTTCAGTTGTAGTGTCAGCTGAGAACCAAATCTCATACCCCAATGTCCCATTAGCATACTTAATGATGCATTTGACCACAATAAGATGAAACTCTTTAGGATAGGCTTGGTAATAGACACAAACACCTACACTAAATACAATGTCAGGTCGACTGGCTGTGAGGTACAAGAGACTCTCTATCGTACTCCTATAAAGGGTAGGATCAACATTAGTACCAGAGGAATCTTTGGAAAGGTGAAGACTGTTTTGGTCAGTCCGCTCGAGCGGGCTGTGTTGAGCTCGAGCGGAGATCGCGGGACAGATTCTATAAATTCGCGTGTTGGGACAGATTTTAGTAGAACTTCTCCAGATCTTCTTTTTGGTTTCTAGGGTTTATATCTGGGGATACTTTGGGAGTTTTCTTTGAGGTTTTTATTGAGTATTCAACTCATGATCTAAAGAGAGTACATCAAAGGTTTGTTTGTTATACACAAAGGAGAGAGTTATTCTTCAGTTGTGGATTCTGAAGAATTCGAGCCTAAAGCTTTGGTGGAATCCGGAGTGGCTCATCAGAAAGACA